GAAATTATTTTTCGACGTTCCGTTTACGTTCGAAATAATTTTGGTAATTAAGTATTAGGCTTAATTAAATAGTTAAGCATTAATTATGATTAATTAGAGAATTAATCATACTTAACCGAGATAATGCCGTAGGCATAAAAAGGGATTTTTTCCTCCACAATTTTGTTGAAAGCCGTATACATTTCTTCAACCAAGGGAACCATTTCCTCTCCTTCAAGTACCTTACGTGTCATATTAGGAGGGGTTAAGAGATGAGTCATCAATTTTAAACTCCTAAGTTGTAGCAAATGGCACCAAGGAATTAATCCACGAATCACCTCATCACCTTAAATCTTTTCGGCCGTCTTATATATATGTGTTAGAATTGGGGAGATTTCCTCATCATTTTCAGCTATATATATATATATATTCCCTTCATTAGCCTTAGTATAGAGAGTTTGTTGAGAGAGCTAAGTAGTAAGCATCCGCATCACAAAGGCTTATCACACCGCACGCATACAGCACGCCGAGAGCTTCGCCGCACGCACGGAGACACAAGGGCGAACAACCCCGAGCAGCGGTAGCGATCAGTCAAGAGGTCGAACAGGTAGCTTCAGTTTATTATATTTTTCAGTTAGTAAGATCATGTGCAAGTTAGTTGTTCGATCATGCTCGGGGGTTAGCGTGGAAGTCGAGTTGGTCGTGCGTATGACCTAGGTTGATCATGTTCATGTTTAATTGTAATCTTTCGAGTAATTGTCGTGTATTCAGTCCCTTTATGATATTCATGTGCAGTTAAGCCTTTGTGTTCGAAAGAATGTTCATGTTGTGCGATATTTCGGCTGAGGGGCGTGGTCGTGCACTGATGAAGGATCGGGTGTTGCGTTCCCTTGACTTGTCTCGATCACGGCTTCGCCACGGCCTTGCTCTCGACGATAGGTGTGATCGACTCGGTTATTAGCCTAACTCTCTCACGATACTTGAGTTCACTCGGTTATTAGCCTCGCTACACTCTCGAAATAGATCGGGCCTTAGCCTCTCTAAATCGTTGAACTGGCTCGGGTCTTAGCCTCACCAATTCGATTTGTATGATCGAATCTCACGACTCTCAACACACGGTTTCGAACAAACGTTCTTTTCTATTTCATCATTCTTGGACATGAAAAAAAATGAGGGATGCTCCCTATTTATAGATCCTAACTATGACTAATTCTAATCTACCTAGGAAACATATTAAAGCAATAAAATATTAAATTCCTAAACATTCTAGATATTATTGTGCAAGAAGGAAACTAAATATTCTAAAGTCATAAATTGACTAGATCTTGATTTTGCTTGGCTTGCACTCCAAACAAATCAAACTCTTGCCCCAAGTACTTCGGCTGCCTCATACACGCACGCCCTAACCGCCTTTGCGCGCGCCGACCTTCGAGACCTAATCCTTGTCGCGCGCGGCCTTGCGCGCGCGCGCCCCGCACTCACACTCCTCGGC